TTAATTTTTTATATATTTTTATTAAGTTACTTTTATTGCATGATAGTTCCATTTTCTATGTACACAATTGAGAAGGATTTTGTTTAAAGAATTAAATGTACATTTAGTTTAAAAAATAGTTATCATATTCAATTCAAAAGATAAAATGCGGTTAATGTAAAAGCGTGTTTTCATAAAGTCTACAACAAGTAATAGAAGGCGACATCATATATATATATATGTATATATATACGTATATGTACATGAATGAATATGTGTACGAGTTATCTATTAAACACAATTAGTAATAATACTTAATTAAATATATTTTGATTTCCGATAGTTTCACAAACTAAATTATAGGTAACAAAAGTTTAGAGCCTAGTCAAACTAAATTAAAGCTTCTTAAGAGTGATTTTCGTTAGTTTTTAGATAGAACATGTTTTCACTTTTCATAAGCTTGTTAATTTATATTTCTCCTTCTTCTTCATCTTCTTAAATAGCATAAAAATTTTTTCCAAAAATATTTCGTTTATTTACTGATTTTGTTACATCAGTATCATTGCATTATCTCTATGTATGTGTGTTTTCTTTTTCTTTTCTTTTTTTGCCAAATGTTTCATTATATATATATATTTTTTTTAGTAATATTTAAAAAAAGCATTGTTCAATTTTAAATGCTTTGAAATCAATTTTCCAGGTTTTTTCTTCTCAATCATTCGTCCAAATTGTTTTTGTTTTTTCAAATTTAAATATTTCCAATTATTAGTATTTGTGTAGATAGCTCTTTCAATAATATCCTTTTTGTCTTTGTCTTTTTGTTATTTCTCTAAACATAAAATTCCTCAAACTATCTTCGTAAATCGACGACTTGAATTTTTTGATTTTGATCCATTTGTATGTGTTGCGCATCCTAAGAAAAGAACAAAATACAAAATATATTTATTTATTTATTTATTTATTTTTTTTGTATTACTAACCATATATAACGGTGGATCGTTGGGATGAGGATGAAAACCCGTTTCACGACATTCAGCAATAAAATTCAGACCATATGTTGGTGTAAGTATATAGAAACCATTACTGCCGCATACAAACAAAAAAAGGTTCAAGTTATAATGAATAAAACTTTGTAAGTTATTTTTGAAAATTACGTTTGATATTTTGGTGCACAAACTATGGCTATAGCCTCAGGCATCATTAACTGATATGAACAGTGCGTATGCAAATCCACCGAAGATAGAAATGCTGTTTGACTCGGATGTGTCTGTAAATTATCAGAACATTCTTGACACAATTCGACTCTTTAAATATATATATATATATATATATATATTTCTACTACGTTTTCTACTTACATGTATCCAACCTAAAGTAATTAAATTTTTTTGATCTTGTACATCAAATATTTCCTCTTCACTCATCGTGGTGCACGAATCAGCATTCCCATGTTGCTTCGGTATTATGACATGCGTAATGTATAGACGATTTTGAGATAAACGACCGGCCAATATACCGCAAGTCTCTATATTTTTATCTGTATTCCTCTGCGCCAATTGAAGAAACACCTCCATTGTGTCCTGTGGTATAATAACGGTACGCAAAGAACCCGCCAGCAGTGAATCTGAGCGATCGTATTGTGGCTTTTGGCTGCGATCAAAGGATGGTTTTGAGGGGATACTTGAAAAATTGACCAAAAAAAAACAAAAAAAAACAAAAAACCCGGAAATAAGTAAAACAAGAAAAAACTGAAATTTTTGAAAAAAAAAACAATAAATAAAAATAAATAAAAAAACAAAGAAACGACATATAAATGAAAATTTGAATTTCTCTACTCACTTTGTACGTTTGTCGTTCTCATCACGAAAATCCGTTTCAACCGATAATAGGAGACCTCCGTCTGACAAATTGGATCGTTGACCGCCCATTGGAAAATCATTAGGATAAACCACTTGATCGAGTAATTTCATATCCGGGGCACTAGGCTGAACATTGGGATCAATTTGGACATGTAGATTTGCAGGTATTAAACTATAGCCGCCAACTTTATTACAATCGCGTGCCTCCCGTTTACGTCGTTCCCGCTCGCGTTCCAGTTCATGTATGCGTTCAGCCTCTTTATTCGCTAAGAATTGTTCATATTCTCTTTGATAATGGTTCAGTAGTTTTTGACGTAATTTCTCGGATTTGGGCATAATTTCCTCTTTGATCAATTTATTAATGTCTTTCATTTCGGCACGCTTGCTTTCAAAATCCGGATGTTTACGTATCTTTTCAACAAACAATGTCAAATATTTCATGTATAAAATGAAAGCGTTCTCATGATTGCCTTCAGCCACATAAACCTTAGCCATGCGCACCATTTCACGACCTGAGCGGAAGTACCTAAGGAATGCGTAGAATAAAAAAACGTATACTTGGAAAGAAAGAAAACATTATGTGTGATTGAAATCGAATCGAAGTTGGCTGGAAGCTCTCTTCATTTTTGATCATTTCCGTTGCGCTCTTCTTTCTTTTTTAATTTTTATCAATTTGAAATCAAACCACCGATATGTATATATATATATATATATATATATATGTATATATAAAGACACAAAGCGTATAATGAACTAAGTAACTGATAGAATCCTCAGAGTAAACAGGACAGAAGAGTTGTCCGAACTGGGAAGAAGTCTGCAGAAATTTGCTATAGTCTCTAGTATAAGGAATCTGTATTCTTTATGCATCTAAGTACATCGCACCACTACTCTTCAATCAAAACTTATCAATTGTTTCCCTGGGAATCTCGTTGTGCTTTTGCGCTTGGCAAATTTGTTCTGTTGTTCTGTTTGCACAGAAGCCGTTAGCTGCATTTTTCTGTTACGTCGTTTATAAAAAATGGAGAATGGAGATAACACAGAGTTGCTTTTAATAAGTAATAAATAAATAAAAAAAGAGAAATGGTGAATAAAAAATCTCTCTCATCTGTTAAATTGGACGAAATAACTGAAACTGCATAACAATATCTGTTAAATGGCACGAGATAACAGAAACTGCATGATAATATCTGTTAAATGGCACGAATTAAAGGAAGCTGCATGACAAACGATGTTAATGTTATATTATCTATTTCTTTTGCGGCTCTTAGGAGCAGTCGAAACAGTGGCCAGATTTGAACCATTTTCATCCTTGGGCTAAATTTCATGAAAATGTTCCAAAAATTGCAATAATAATACTATCATAATATTATAATACTATCGGGATGCAATTTAACCTCTATTTTGTCTATAAATCTCTGTAGTATCTCTTTAATTAATGGTCCAGTTTTAAGCCGAGATTTTACTTTCCGCGATAAAGTAAAAGGTCCACTAAGAGAATTTGAATCGAATTAACCCTACTTTCATTATCGCGTTCGCTGGCCAGTAAGAAATTGTACAAATCCACTATTATCTATTAATGAAACGTATACATCACAAATGTAGTTAGTTTACACTCAAAATTCTAGTCTACGTCCAATCAAAGGGCAGTCTGCACCGCAATTTGGAATATACAATGGCTGATAGGCATTCTTGTAGAAAATGGATACAACTGGTTGGCTTTCGACGGGGGCATTCTACGTCCTCTTTCTTCTTGTGCCAGACTTTGATTTAGAATCCTATGTTGTAAGGGTCCATAACCCAGCAAACGGATGAGCAAAAATACATCATGCGTCCTCTACAGAGAGTCGAGATGGTTTGTCGTTAAGCTAATAGCATATTCGCAATGAAACTCTTTTTGGGATGGAACTTTAACAATTATCTACCAGAAAAGTATTTATAATATTCATTATAGAAGTAATGATTTAAGGTGACCAGAATTTGAGCGAACTTCGAATTCTATCGACAGCCGTTAATTTACCACCTCGTATGGTGAAATGACAATCCTGTTTAGGTTTATTTTCACATTTGAAGAAATCGCCATATAGATAATAATGTGGTAGGTAAGCATTATTTTAAATTCAGCTTAGCCATGAGCGAACCAGTGAAAAGTAAATTTCGAAAGAGAAATAATTGCAAACCAAGCTTGCTGTTCGACATCGTGACGCAACCAGACATCAATTTCATTATTTACAAAGCGTTTTTATCTATTTTATATGGAACCTTCAATGCGAGTTCGCTTTACTACTAGATATATATAAAAAAATGATAAACCTCCTTCGATGGCCACAAATGTGCATACACAGTGAATGAGTGACATTGAGTAAACAGTAAACAAGTGATAAGTGTTAAGCGAATAAGCAACAGGAGTCCTACTAGAAAAAATTTCACCATTATTGAAGGTCATGTTTTCATGACCTTAGCCTAATTTTTCTATTTTCTTTTTCATATTAAATTTCTTAAGTTGCACACACAAGGTTCCGTTATGCAAAAGAAACATTTTACTACTACGCTATTTTGCGTTTGAAGGCATTGCGAGATTAAATTCTTTTTTTTTTTTTGTTTTTTTGAACGTCAAGTAAGTATTTACCGCAAAATTGATTGTTTTGGATCCACTTCAATCATATTGCCGTGCTGGACTAAATAGCTCATACGTTCTTGTGGTTCAATTGTTGTCATATCCATATAATTTACCATCGCCGTCTTGGAGGAGGACATGGTTTTCCTCTCCTTCTTTTATTGTATATTTAAAATTTATTTTTTTTTTAATCAATAATAAGAAAATTCGATATTGTTTCAAATAGGTTGTTGCGAAAAAAGTCCGGATTTTCAAAAACTACTTATTGGCGTCTTTAATGGTTTTTTTTTATATGAACTTGTTCTTCGTTATTATTATATTTATAAATTTTTCTTAAAGATTTGTAGAGATTTTCTTAGTTTTATGTTTTCGTATAAATTACTCATCTTCCACTTCTGCGTCTTATCAAAACAAAACGAATAATGAGGCGAATTTAGCAATTTCTTCTTTCACACAGCTGGCAAGTTGTGTGAGTGTGTAAGTGTGTGCGTGTGTGTGCAGTGTTTCCAAGTTTGAGCAAAATTGAAGTAACAGTCACAATAGTTAGTCTATAGGGGATTTTGTTAACTTGGCTACTTTTCATTTTTTTTTTTTTCAATATTCTGTAGAAAATTTTAAATATCACCTTTTGTAACGGCTCTCCTTCTCCTCTCGAAGTCTGGCATTCTTACCATAAAATAGTACTAATGGAAAGTAAACTAATAGTTTTAACTGCAAGCTGATTAATTTATAAGCATTGATTACAATTGAATTGTTTCGTAATCTAATTTTTTATATAAATGGATTAAGTTTGTTCGTTATCGATAGATAGATAGAATGCAATAATGTTCTAATGTTCATAATTGTTTCATTTTGCAATTATAGCTGATTAGAGCGGAGGTTTTCGAAGTTATAGAAATTTCGTTCGAATACTTGCAATTTTCTGTGCTAGACAACGAAAGTAAGAGCGTAAACCCACAAAAAAAAGGAAGCTGTATTCAGTTTGAACCTGGCATAGATCTTATGTAAGTACGTAGACTATTCATTTGCAAAAAAAAAAAAAAAAAGAAGGAAATATCGTACATTATGCATATTTTATTCCTTACTTATTATTAAGATCACTGTTCTAAAAAAAAGCCTAAATATATTTTAGGCAACTATATATATTTTATCCTCTTCATTATTCATTATTGTCACCTAATAGCGATACTCCGCTTTTCATAATTTAAAAGAATAAATACGAAATAACAGGTCGAATAAAAAGCAAAATCAAAAGGAAGATATAAATGAACGAATGTGTCTCGTAATGTGTCTTGATTGTCTAGTTTATTAGTTAAACTAATGTCTAGACATGAAATCGTTGTCTGCTCTCTTTGGGGTATGCTCAAATTTACTAAAGAACTTTCCACGAAGTCATACAATATCCAAAAATGAAAATAAAATAACATTGACAATGTCAGCTATAGAACATTTCGGAACGTTTCGGAAGAAGATCTTTTTTGTCAATTGTTAGCCTGTATATAAAGATTGTTCACCAACTCATGTGATTGGCTAAGGACTGAAATTCAATAAATAGTTTTACTCTTTAAGCAGTTACACGTAATAAATGCATTAACCATTTCCTCTTCGAAGATTGCTTTTCATCTACCTATCAGCAATCTTCACTTCTCCATTTGACTTGTAATGCGAGCAAACGCATTATCAGTATATGAATTATTTTTATTGAGAATACATACTTGCATCACTAGCGCATAGTGATTTTTGTAAGTGCCCAAAAATTGCAAGCGACAAGTCCACCAATGCTATAGGCACAACATCACATTTGTAATAAAGGTTTCTGGACCGTCAGAGCTCGATTTCAATCGATTTTAACCGACAGCATGAAAGACTCGTTTGCTCGCTTAACTCGCGAAATCTCATTTTATGACATATAGGTGATAATAAATTGAGCAAACGTAGAAATGAAGAGAAGAAAATTGAACGAAACTTTATTTTGATTGACATTGATGTAAAGAGAAAAACATGAAAGAGTGCTTTTACGAGTAAAAGAATTGCAGTTATGTTAGATAAGAGAAGTATTATTAAACATCAAAAATTAAACGAAAATGAAAATAAATAGTTTAAACATTTCTCTCACGGTCCATGATTTAGCGTGCGGAGGATCAAGACCGAAGACCGAAACACAAAACCCTATCCTATCATCATATCAATCATATTTTCTCCCAAAGATATCGTAAAACATAAAATTGCACGCGTACGTATATATATATGTGTATATATATAAATATATGTATATGAGTTCTCTCATATTTTACTTTCGTCCATATTTATTCATTCATACTATTCCTGAATTCAATCAGTTTTATTTGCAAAATTCATGTTAACACTTGTTGTGTGTCTTGTGGACGATCGTCGTCATTGTTATTATTATATGTACCCTATGTACCGTTAAACAGCATTAAGCAATGACATTCATTACATTTTTTATGGGTGTTAATTAAACTAAATATCTGTATAAGTATGTGTGCGTAAAAAATATATTAAATTGCAGCAATTATTTAATTATTAAAAACTGATAAAATTGAAAAAAAAAAAAAACAGAAGAGATGAAATAGTATAGAAAAATTCGTAAACATAGCGTTTGCATTTTGCATGTTCATACTAGTAGTACGAACGTTACACACACGGTTTTCCTAATTGATAAATAACGTGTGATAAGTAGGCTTTTGACATTAAATTAATTTCAATAAAAGTTCAAAAAAAAAAAACACTAGAAAAAATTGTGTTTATATATATATATATATATGGATGTAATAAGTGAAAAATTATTAAAATCATTTAAAAAATTCATTTAAAAAGATTTAACTAAAGTGAAAATTGTAAACAATTGAGAAATTTATTTTTTAAAGAAATTGCTTTGAAGTGTGTGTCCCGTGTGCATGTGGTTTAGTATTATGTTAATAATAATATCAATAAACTGCATTTTCACTCAAGATCAATCCTTTTTTTGCATTTTATAATAAGAAAAATTCGCCAAAAAACACAAAAAGACAAAGAGATCAATGCTTTGTTTATAAAATTAAGAAATACATACATACATACATATATAACGCTCTTTCTTGCATTTTCAAATACATACGGGTATCAAAGGCATTATATATATATATTGATTGAACAAATTGTCGCCAATGAAAGAAAATTCCAGAGACTTAAATAAAAGCAAAAAATTTATTATAAAATAATGCCAGAGATAATAAAAGTACAACCTATATAATGATTGTAAAGTAGCTTTGCAGATAATATTTGTGTAATGGCTGTTACTGATATGTATTTTATTAATTTATTTTTTTTTTTTTTTGTTTTTAATTTTCAATAAAAAAAAAAAAAATTGAGTTTACGACTATTTTTAACTTTAACGAAATTATGAAAAATTGTACTCAAAAGTAAATAATAATACAATACAGCAAAAAGAGTGTTACTTACGTTCAATGTCAACGGGTTAATGTCGAACATTTATGAAAACAACTTATTGTGCATCGAAGACTTGCTTCTTTTTTTTTTTTTTTTTTTCTCTGCACTCTACTATAGCATGGATTTATTTATTTACGATTCACTTTTTAACTTGGACTTTTTTGTACGTGTTTGGTGTATTAAGTTACTCCGCTACGTTTTCATATTTGAATGACGTCGATGTTTTTTTTAGTCCAAAGCTTTTTACATTACTTTGTTAACACAAGAGGAAGTTTTATACCATTTCAACCAAAGAGTGACAAGGATATATTCATGTTAGATGTGGAAGTTGATATGAGTGTAGCGCTAATGAGTAGAGCATTTCATTTTTGTGTATCTACATGTATACATAGCAAACATTCCCTGGAAAAATCGTGAAAGTTTCAAATGCAACATCTTTTGAAGCAGGCAACTTACGCTCGGCAATGCTACTTTATTAGGCAATATAGGTGATAATGAGATAAGTGAAGTGAAGTGAAGAGAATTTCCGCATTTAGAAGTTTTTTATTTAGAAAGCAAATAATCTGCAGCAACAGTAGCGCTTTGAACTTTCCCTACACTTTACATATCGTCATCATTCTTTGTTAAGTTCCAAACTAATTATCGATGTTGAAGGGTGATGATCCAGAAAATCACCAACCGTTCCCAAGTATCGGTATGAGTAACGGAGCGGAAAGAATCGTGATTACCATGTCTGTGTTCGCGTGTTCTAATCTCAATACGATAGAATTTCCTTTGGTCGTAATTATACTAGTGAATGCTCAGTCGATAAAGGCGTAACATTTACCACTAGGCTACAGCCGCTTACCTATTTCGTTCTCTTTGCTCAGCTCATTCCGACCATTGGCCGTATTACACGAACAGGACGTATCCCCTGAATGACTAAGTCATGTAATAATAAAAAAAGTATTAGCCGGTTTTTTCAAAAATCAATTCTCTCATAACGAGCTAATCCCGCGAACTTTACATAATACTTAAAAATGAATCCAATATTGAGTGCAGCCTTCATAAATAAAAAGTGGGCATCTAGCCAAAATAAAAAATAAAAGCAATTTTATTATATTTTTAACTTATTAATTTTCGTCTGCATCGAAAGTATTGGATGATTTGGAAAAAAATGTCGATTTTCTTGGCCAAAACGAAAAACGTTTTCTTTATCAAGAACAGTGGAATTCAGTCGATTTAAACTCTGAGTGATCTTACGAGTTGTCATTTATTTTGTCTTTATCGCCTGCTACTGGCCTTTCAAAACGTGATACATAAGCGCAGAAAGCAGTTTTCGCACTGACGCGTTCAGTCCACTTATCGCGTCCACGCTCATCCAATTAGTTTTTTTCTTGCTTTAAAATCATTTTTCCCTCTTGTCTAGTAATAGAAGTAGAGTACGCCGAAAATGCTGCTTTCGATTTTCCGTCTTTAGTAAAGCATCAAACGAAGAAATAAACAAAAATTTTTCCTACACAAGCATAGTGCCTGTTGAGTGTGAAAAAATGAAATATTGGCAAAAAAAAAAAAAAAAAAAAAACAAAATAATTTTCTAAACAAACTAATACTAACAAATTCATTCAAGTATTTGAACTTTTCAGTCACTTTTACACTGAAGATTGTGTTCTTAACATCCTAGCATATATTTCAGCTTTACCTAGATTAACTGCGCTCGTAATTGCGTGTAGAAAACCGAACAACTTGACAGTGGAATCAATCATAAGTTAAGGAATACACAATGAGTTGTGATAAATTTGAAAATTGAAATTTATTTACAAATGCACGAATCCATGGGCGAAAGCCAAAAAGTTTTTTCTTTTTTTTTTCATATATATTTCCTTTTTCAACTTGTAGATCTCACCGATATATATTAGTTGACACATGTAGAAGCGAAAAACGTTTCTCATTCATTCAATTTTTTATTTGTTACATTTTTAGTTCGTTTAGATACTTGCAAGATGACTTCGAAATCATTTAACATTACTTATATCGTTATATTTGTATATCTACATGTTTTATTGGGAACTTTTACAAATGGTTACAAGGTTGGGTTAGGTCGAGCTGATATTACAGGACCACCGGTGGAAATAAATTTTGTGAGTAAGAAATCGATAGCAAAAGTCTAACGGTTTAATTATTTATGAGAATTTAGATGGGCTATGGTAATTTTAAACAAGCGGGCCATGGAATACATACTAGACAGTACGCACGTGCCTTTGTGACAGAAGATGATAGAAATAATAGGGTGGCTTTTGTATCGGTAGATGCCGGCATGATGGGCTATGGTGTGAAACGTGAGGTAAATGCGAAAAAGTTACGACCTCTTCATGCACTACACACATATATTATGCACATAATGATTTTTAGGTTATTAAACGTTTAGAAGCACGTTACGGTATTGATGTTTATACGAATGATAATTTAGTTATCAGCGGAACTCATACACATTCAGGTCCCGGCGGATTTCTCATGCATTTGCTCTATGACGTATCAATTTTAGGCTTTGTTCCGCAAACATTTGAGGCCATGGCACATGGAATTTACTTGGTAAGCTCGTGTTACCTAAATACCTAAAGATAGGTTGCGTTTGTAATCAATTACAAAATCAATGAACAACAAGTAATGCGAACTGTGTTTTATTGTTACTCTTATTGCCTTTCAAGAGCGTTAAGAGAGCTACTGATAACTTGGTGGAGGGTAAAATTTTCTTGGCTCATACTCTTATATTGAATGCAAATATAAATCGTTCTCCAACTTCCTATTTACGTAATCCTATTGAAGAACGAGCTCAGTATGAACACGATGTTGACAAAACGTTAATGCAATTACGTTTTGTGGATATGGAAGAAAATATTTTGGGTGTTTTCAATTGGTATGCGGTGCACGCGACGTCTATGAATAATACCAACACTTTAGTGTCAAGCGATAATGTGGGCTACGCGTCTCTTTTGCTGGAAAGAGAATTCAATACGAACAAAGTGCCGGGCAAGGTAATCAGCTAAGGTTTTAAGTAGTATTTTTTTTTTTTTTTTTTTTTTAATTTTTAACATTTTAGGGTAAATTTGTAGGAGCGTTTTGTTCCTCGAATCTGGGTGATGTTTCACCAAATATTATGGGACCAAAGTGTTCGCGCTCTGGTAATCCTTGTGATTTGTTAACTTCAAAGTGCCCTCCAAAGGAAGGAGAATGCTTTGCTTCTGGCCCGGGTCAAGATATGTTTGAAAGTACACAAATTATCGGGCAACGTTTAGCGGAAGGAGCATTGGTAGATTTTTAGCAAACCTATAAGAGTAATTTCTTATCTAATTTGAGAGGTTTTTTAGCGACTTCTCAACTCTGCCGATGAAGAGGACAATGGCAGCCGAGAAGTAACTGGCGATATTAGCTTCATACATCAGTTCGTGGATATGCCCAGTTATAATGGGACCGCTTATAATCCCTCGCAACGTAAAATCGATAAAATTCGAGGTTGTCAACCGGCTATGGGTTATAGTTTTGCAGCTGGTACCACTGACGGTCCTGGAGCATTTAATTTCGCTCAAGGTACCGTGACGGAGAATCCCATGTGGAATTTAGTACGCGATTTTATAGTACCACCGACACAAGACGACATAACATGTCATTCTCCAAAACCTATACTTCTAGCCACCGGCAGAGTAAGTTTCGAACATCTATCCTCTGCTTTTTCCTTATTACGAGTCTAAAACTACCATAGGCCACATTCCCTTACGAATGGCAACCAAAAATTATCGCAGCACAAATTATTAAAATTGGTGATGTGGTTATCACTGCTGTCCCAGGTGAATTCACTACCATGGCGGGCCGTCGATTGCGTAATAAAGTTGCTGCGGTTGCCTCTGCTATTGACGGCAAAGATGTTGATGTCATTATAGCCGGTTTATCTAATATATATACAAGTTATATTGTAACTCCAGAAGAATATCAGGCACAACGTTATGAAGCAGCTTCCACCATATATGGACCCAATACCTTACCCATTTATATGGATATATACGAACGTTTAACTAAAGCTTTATTAAGAGGCGAAATAGTTGAGTCCGGACCTTTGCCACCCTATATGAATGATCGTATGCTATCTATGAATACGGGGGTAATATTCGATGGGCATCCAATCGATAAAGATTTCGGTTATGTTAAACAACAGCCACACAGAGAATACGAAATCAACGATACGGTAAAAGTGACATTTGTTGCTGGCAATCCTCGCAATAACTTGTTTCATGGAAAAACTTACCTAACTATCGAACGTAAAATTCATGAGGAAAGATGGAAGATTGTGCATACGGACGCCAGTTGGGATACAAAGTATAACAAGGAGTCGCGATTATTTATGTATTTGTTTCACTAAAAGAAATTATTATTACAGATTCATTTGGGAACGCACTCATTCGATATTTGGCTTTAGCGATGCCCACATACATTGGACGATTGGTGCTAATACTCTACCTGGTCAGTATCGCATACGACATTTTGGCAATTATAAATACATTTTGGGTGGAATTTTTCCATACGAAGGACAAACACAAACGTTTACGATAATCGACGAATAAGCAATTTAATAAAATTGAAAGGATGTTTTTGGACTAGTCACAGACTGTATGCTTTCAGGGTGTTTATAGAATAAAGTGCAATCCTATGTATTGTAAGTAACTCAGAGAAAGGAGTTTTTATTAATTAATATTCTTTAAAAGATGTTATTCATTTTGTATATACGTTTTAATCTCTTGCATTATTTATAATATATGAAATTTAAGCGATAGGAACAAATATAATTGGTATTTAAATAAATTACTTATTTTTAACATGACGGTTATATCATACTTTAATTAACTTTTATATTAGCGAAAATTCAATATAAAAAAAAATATCGTTATTAAGGCGTAAATGTATATTTGTTATTGTTATGGGTGAGCGGGAAAGCTAAAAACAATTTCTGCTTTAAATTTTGCGTTTAGTTGTAAACGATAAAATAATTTAGAATTACTCGCTGGGTTTAGTACAGATCTTGAAAGTAATGGAGTGAAAACCATTGTTTATAAGATAATTTTTAAACGCTATGTCCTATCAATGTTCAAATATTATGCTCTTCGATTCAACTGTATTTTATAGCAGCATAGACCAATAGTTATCTATACGAAATATTTCGATAACCTATTAGCAAATTTCCTCACTTGCATCAAATACTCCATTAATGATTTTTTTTAATATTTGAAATGTAAACGTTAAATTTTCAGCAACAGTACGAAGAAGAAAAGGAAGCGACATAAAATAGAAGTTATTCAAAAAACAGTTAATAACTTTTTAAAATAGTTTAGAAATATAACCTTTAAGTTTAAATAACCCTATTTTTATATACACAAAAAATTATTCTTATAGATATAGCTATCTTTTGCTTTTAACTGACTATTTCCATTTTATTGATCTTTCTACTTCTTCTTTTGACAAGTGCATTCACAATTGTGCTTGAAAGTCAGAGTTGCTTAGGACAATTTAATATTGTGGGGAAAAATAATCAAGTTTAATCAAGTTACTAATTTTACACAGATAATTAATTGGGTAAATGTAATCTGGATGGTAATCACGTAACTGAAAATTAGTTTTCATTTCGCACAAGTCTTTCATAAGTGATTATTCCTCCTTTACTTTTCCTACATGTTACCCTAAAAGTTTTCAATTTCGATAATGACTCACATTCGCATTTATTCATGTTAAAGGTAATCATTATACCTACGAACGAGTGCAAACAAAAACAACAAAACAAAAGCACTCAACTAAATCACGAATAATACTAAAAACATAAGTAGATGAAGAGTGTGACACACACACACAGAGAGAGAGAGAGAGAGAGAGGAGAGAATAGAATGTTTATAAAACTAAGCAAAACTATTTTATTATATGTTATATTTTTAATGTTTGTCTAATAAATGAATGAATGATATCAGCACAATATCATTAATATCTCAGATTGTCATGAATAACAAAAATAATAAAAAGATTCGATTTCGATGAGAGAGGAATTCTTTGCGAACTTGGCAGCATTAGCATTAGGGGATTGCAGGCATTGTTATTGTAAAATGTTATTTAGACTAAGAGAAGTCTGAAAAAGAGCGAATCCAATAGGGAGAGAGGGGAGAGAGAGAGAGAACATCACTTCTTAACAATTGCTTATATGAATGAATATAAATCTCAACATTTTCTAGATTTTTTTCAGTCTCGCGCAATTTTTCTCGCGCATTATTATTAAAAGGGGTATGGATCGATTGTTGCGGTGTTTATTGATAAACATATGAAAAGAATTAGCAAATTTATTATTAATTTGTTGTTATGAAAACAAGGAAGTTGTATTAAAAATTACCAAAGTCATCAAAGTAATAATAAGTAGAAAAAGTATGATTCGTAAGGAAAATTTTAAGAATCGTTTATTAAAATTTATTGACTTTTACCTTACAAGAGTCAAGCATAAGCATTCGTTTATGACGGAAAGTGAAACACAAAACCAATTCAGATAAATACAAATTTTTGATTAATTCATAAAATAATAGGCGGGGATACATATATATATATATATATTTAGCAATATATATATATTTAGCAATCGTATTATATTTTCTTGAAATTAGTGTCATGGTGTGATCAAAAATTTATACAAACGTCTTCATTGTTTACATTTTTGAAGAGTAAGGGTGCATTCGAGAACAGAAAGCATAAGACAAGCAAAGAGCAAACAATACGAGGCGTGCGTTGCACTTAATTCATTGACGTCAAATAAAAAAAAAGCGCAGTGAGTATATGAAAAATTGTCTTCATTTAATAAAATTAGTTGTCGTTATAGTTTTACATTAATAAAACTTCGTTGAAATAGCTTTTCTTTTTTTTTCTTGCGTCTTAAGGCGATCTATATGATTTTGATAAGAAAGCCGGCAATTTGTCTTTGTGTTCATTTCATTTGAGAGTGTACGTGATTGTTTTATTGATAAATGTAAATAGGTCAACAATATAGAAAATTCCAGAACTTAAAAAACTATGCATGCTCTACTTTAATAAATCTTTAAAGATAGTGACAGGCGGATAATCTTTTCTAATTATTTAAGGCAAAAAACTGGTAGGTTTTTCATCAACTAAGAAAGCAAAACATATAGAAATGCAAAAACATACATATACATATATATATATATATATATATATTTTCTTTTGAGATTGCACAGCAATATTGCATCTTCTTGTCCGTCCCACATTAGCAAAATAAATAATTTATTGAAGGCAGAAAACTGTATTTGAAAATGTCATATCTTTCAAAATTTTGATCGCTTATACAGTTCGGTGAACTTTTATCAAACGCTTAGATGGTGCGTTAGAATGCGCTTAAGCACATATGTGCATTTCGATAAGAAAAGAATTTCCCCTTTTCTCTTTTTTATTCCTAACATAGCACATAGGCGGACATTACGAATAACATGCGCTCTCAATAAATTTTATTGCAACATAATTATTTACAATGAATTCCTATTATTACGCTACAGTATATTAGACTTGTCAAGTAGTTCTAACACGTATCAAGCATTTTTTGTGGAAAAAAGTCAAACATTGAGCGGGAGCTTATTTTCGGAAACTTACAGCCTTAACAACAGGAACAATTATAATTCAAAACTTCTTATCGATCGTAGCAATTTATAAAGTCTTTTTGGCGCCAATCGGAAAACCAATGACTGGAGCTTCCATTTATTGTATGCTGTCATGGCTAATATTTTTAAAAAGATTAACCTGCGCCTGTCATCTTTATTGCAAAACACTGCATATCCTTTGGTCGTCCTTAATACTTTTCATCCCGTTTCTAAATGGAAGGTCTTTGGGGGCTATTCCTGGCCCCCTGCTTTAGAACTAATTAGTGCATGCTTTTAATAGGCGTTTTAACATTACTCGCCTTAACTTGATAAACAACACTCTCAGTTAGAAATGTCGTAAATGATAATAATGTTAACAATAACAACAAGGGGACTGTATAAATTCTTGGAATCATTAACGCTTGAAAAACTCCCGCTTACAAGAGCATCATCGCTACGTAAGCTTGTTTAAGAAAGCTGGATTTTATTGAATAACAAACAATGAAAGAGCCGGATGCACATTTAATCGTCTCCAAACTTTACCAATTTAATCGATATTAGAGTAGTCCGACGTTGTTTGGAAACCTTTCAATGGAATTTTGTTTTGTTCTCACTTCACTCTTAGCTACATGCGAGCAGCCTAAGTCGCGGTACCATTTGATCACTTTCTCCGTAATAAAATAGACAAAGGTTCATTGGCTTGCCGATTTTTGAGGAGGAGAATGCGTAGAATTACACAGCTAATGAATGCATCCTTGTATATTTGAAACAATTTTTCTCTACATTATGTCCCTGATGAATATCGCAATACTAACTGTTTGAGCCTTTTAGAATATTTTCCAAGCTGTATAATTGAAATGATTAGCGGTTTGATTAATCCGCTGCTTGTAGTAAACGTAGATAGAATTAGAAACCCGCTTTACCACGTACCAGACAGATGCCTTTTTTTTTGCATTTTAATAACTTTTATTAATAATATTATTTAGTTATTATTTATATTCTGCAATTTTTATATTCTACTCGGTAACGTATAAACCTGCAAACGCGTAAATAAACACAAGCATGAGAATGATATTCGACTGTAAACGAATCTTTGATACCCTTTAAATCAAAAAAAAAAATTCCGTATTCTATACTGTTGAGTGGGCGCGGCCTTTTTTTATCAATTTTCTACACATACTATGGAATCATCCGTCGAAATTTTTAACGCTATATATATATTATCCGGATGAGTAGTCGAGTAGGCAATGACTAACAACTTAATGGTGCGGTAGTGTTTCCAATATAGGCAAGCATATAATCTAAGTTATCCAGCAGCCTTTAAATCTATTCTTTTTAAATTTATTTGCAAAATATACGATAAATAAATAAAAACATTTTAAGATATGAACAATGACTAAGAAACTCAATTCTTTTTTCACTGTTTTTTTTTTTTGTTGTATTCTGCAAGCCTGCCTTCAATATGTTTTTGGATAAATTTGAATCCAATGTCTTAACTTTTGTGATCAGGAGAATGTCGATGACATAAATTCGTAGCGACTGACTGACTGAACGGACAGATATGCTTATATAGACTCAATATTTGATACTGGTCAAGAACATAGGTATTTTGAAGTTTCCTTCTTGGTGTTTCGGACGTATTGAGAAAAGTATTAAATTTCAATATTCTATAATATTAGGTTACTTGGGTGATTTTTTCCACTTTTGTGCGGGCGTTGCTATCCATGTAAAATGCGTTCCAATTTTTACCGTTCGAGGATATTTACCACAGCTAGATAGAGGGACGTGTATGATACTTATTGGGAATGTATATGCGCAATATGGGATCTCTGTTGCAAACGTTTCCACGAAATGAATATGCCCCCATCCTTCGGTGTAGGATAAAAAAAAAAAAAAAAAAAAACCAATGTTTACGTTAACTACTTCCATTTAATAGTTTGATTAGTAGTGATTAGGTTTTACTGACGCTTTAACATCTCATTCTTTGCTGCTATTTTAATTTAAACAACGTTTTTATTTACACTATGTTAATGGTTTGCTAAGCGGAATGCATTTAAAGCTTAAAAACGAAAAGTTAAGTTTAGCAATATCTCTTTGTTAGCGCGAATGAAACACTGGGGAAAAGGGGAAAATACTATGCTAAGATTACTTGTTGTCACTCTATGTTTGCTCAATGAAAGTAAAGACTTGACCATAACGATAAATAAATGTTGAATGAAATCAAAAGGTACTTGTTTCACTTAATCATAACTGCGATCATCAGTTCCAATTCCAGTTATTGATATATATATATATATATATGTACATATTTTTTTTTTTTTTTTTTTCATTTTAAAATGATTATATAAACCGGTCTTATAACAGCGTGAAGAAATACCTCGAAATGCGCTTTTGATTAAAGTGTAAGTGTCAGCTGGCAAATGGGTGCAATTAGATAGATTTTCATCCTCTATTGATTTATTCATTATATTCATGATCATGTTAAAGAGAAGTTAAAACGGCAATAAGAAAAGAAGCTGAAAGTGTAAAAAGTGTATTTATTTAAACAAAGTTGTTTGGTTTCTTTATCGATTTTATTTATTTAACTCATCTGTATTTAATATATTATTAGAAAACTGGTTATTATTCATTCAATTACGATTCAAGGTAAAAAAAAAAAAAATTATGTTCGTTGATTATATATGTATATATGTGCTGGGTAAGTTTACAATTACATATAATTATGTATTGCCTTTTCTGTAAATTTTTTTGTATAAATGTCACTAGGAAAACATCTGCTTAAGGTCATTAGGCGGCTAAATGTTAATAATAATAATGGGTTTGTATTTAATTGCGCGTTTAGTTATTTTGAAAATAATTATAAACATTTTTTTGGCTAATTAAGTATTAAAAAAAGATGTTTAAATCACTGGTAGAATTTACTTAGAAACATATCTAAGCGCGAGCACCGCCATGTTATTAGTAAGCGGACAATAACCTTTAGGCCAAGTAGGGCAGTTTCACGTTCGTCTTGTGAACGTTCGTCTTGAAAATGTAGACCACTAGTGGTAGATTGTTTCAAAGGCGGGTAATACCGATAAAGGACGACCAGTCGCGCTAGTCTCTTGTGCGTCATGTAGATGGAGAAATGGGTAGGAACGCTGAGAAAACCGAGTTAATTGGTGGGCAAATCTTTTTTATCTTTGTAGAACGCTTGACCTGGATTGACTTATACATAAGCCCGAATTAAGCCGATGTTCAAGGACACTGAAAGTTTTGGAAATAGTTTAGCTCTTATTTTTCTTACTTTTTTGTTTTTAGACGCTTTGCGTTAATTAACGAAAAAGAAAATGTACTCTTGAAATTCCAAAGCTTTTCTCATGTACTTCAATATGTTGAAATGAATCTATTTCTTAAAGCTATAGCTTTGTCACCCACCTTTATGTTTAGAAAGTTTTTATTTTTGCTTAAAGGCAAGCAAAAGTGCGTTAGTGCAGCTGCATTGAGTTGCTCGTCGAAGGGATATGAGGCGAAGAATAATTCAATAAGCGCTACACGCTCTACCTACAAATTTAAAGTTTAGGATGAACCTTTTCATCCTAACTATAAACATAACTAAAGAATTGTATATTGTTATATATATATTGGCATTTCGCAATATGTAATATGTTAGAGACGGATTCTGTCATCATGTCTAGTGAAAAAATCTTAGAGCAAAGCGAATGCGGAAGCATTTTGCTTGATCTGCAAACTAGTGGCAAAAAAAATGATAATAAATTTGTTGTAATAAAAAGGCATATGTCATGCCGTCATCTTTTTCTTCTTCTTCTTCTCGAAATCAGCAAACAGCAACGATAGAAGATTCGCTGTGTTGTATACAAAACACAAAGTTTTTTGCTTGAATCTTAATAAAGTTATTAATAAAATTATTTAATTAATCAATTTTTTCTTAATTGAGTTATACGCTGAAGTTGGTTATGTTTTCTACAACGACTACATAAAAAACTCATGTATGTGTTACGCATAACACCTTTCAAACTTCATATTTCCAAAGCCGTCATTGAAAAACTCATACAATCTTCTTCTTCTTCTTTTTATATGAATTATTTCCAATATCTTCAAAATGACAGTCTAAACTCCGATACGTAGAATTCCTTTTTTGAGATTATTGAAAAATTATTTATTTAACAAATGGTCGTCC